TGTATGTCTATTCTGTGATTTTATATGATTTTTTGAACATACGCCGTTTTTGGTCGAAAATTCAAAAATCATGACGTCACTAAAACCTCAATATCTCAAAAATTTTCCGACCGATTTTTTTGAAACTTTGTCACAATAAACTTCAATCAATTCCCTACAGGTACCCAAAATTTGGCGCGCCTGCGGCGCGCCGTTTTTATGCTATGGCCCGGCGAAAAAAGTGGGGGCGTTTAACGCCCCCCCAGCAACTCGCGGGTTAACCCTCGCCCGTATAGGGGGGGTCGAACGGACCCCCCCATGGTTTTTCGTGAATAACTCGCGTAAAAAGCGGCTGATCGCGACGAAACTTTCAGTACCCTCGCGTTCATCAATTTCACACCTACCCTGAAAATTTCATGACCCTGACCCAAATGACCTTTGACCTGTGACCTACTTTTCGAGACCATGTTTGGCTGGAATCAAGATTCGGCGTACGTCGGCTCGCATTAGCCGCGCGTTTGCAGTCTTTTCGTGGTTTCAAGCGCTCAAACATGTGATATCATGTTGCCCCCATGCATTAGGGTGGGTGTCAAGGTCACCTGATGGTCAGGTCAGGTCATTGACCTTTGATGACCTCGGTTCACTTTTTCGAGTTTTACATGATTCTAGGCCAGTTTTTTGAGCTGAATTCGAATTTAGCAACCATATGAACATTTACGAAGTAGTTTTGGTGCCTTCGTAACATGTTACGAAGCTGTCAGAGGCGGTTGCCACCTACTACGAATACCCTTACTGGTTGACCTGACCTGACCTGACCCGACCTGGCCTAAATACATGAAGACATCATCTGTGATCAAAACTAGCATGATATTCGTGATCAGCACCCCGAAAAACCTTATAGCAGCCACACTTTACGACGTTCTAACAGGTCCCGATTTTCCCGCCTTTGGGGTCATTGACCTGACCTGCAAGGTTAACCAATGACCTAGGACCTTAAAATTGGGTATCATCGGCTTCCTCTCGTCACGGGCAACACGCTCGTTTTTTCCGCGAAGCTCTAGCTCGATCAGGGGCGAAACGGCAAGGGGGGGGGGGGTCCAACGGACCCCCCCCCCCCCCCTTATACGTTCGCGGCTGGAAAAACACCAATACAAAGAGGTCTGTCACACATTATGTGATGATGATCATTCTTATCCGTAAAAGGCGCATTATAGAAGGTAAACGTTAAACCCCGGATAGGTCAGGAATATATCTCCCGTCGCAGCAAAACGACTGAATTGAATGCCGTCAAGGCGTGAAATGTCAACAATCTCATAAATTTTCATTGAAATGTGACTATATGGTGTTCACATTTACGATATGAGTGACTACATATTTGTTTGAGCGGAAATACGCATTACGCATGCTTCCAAGCGAATTTCTCGCGACTGCAGCTGCTAAGATCAATGATGTGGAACAGGTGCACCTTATAACGCCGTAAAGTTTATGGATCGCTTACGACCCGACCTCTCTCGTTTGAAACACATTGTTCTGCTGTGTTAGTTGCGCGGAAATGAATGCTGTAAAAATAGTGCATAGTTTGCTGCTTGTAACTGCGCTCGAACGGGCAGTGCAGCGCCGATTCCGAGCGTCATGATCTCATATTTCCCACATATTTCCATGTGTCGTCAGTCTCAGAAACGACAGAGCTGTCTCTCTTTCGTTACTCTAGGGTGACAAAGGAGGCAGGAGCCATTTTCTTCGAAAACGCATTGAAAGCCCGACGCATTCCATACAACATTATCGGCATCGTCGAACGATTTCTCACCGAGTGGTCGAAATACACTCAAGATTATTGTCTCCGACCAGTTACAAAGTGAGAGGAAATGACGCCCTAGGTTCGAATGTTACCCCTGGTGTTCCCTGAGAAACGGCTGGACGTGACGGGAGCCCGGCGGACAGCGATGACAGGTCCCGATCGTAGGTAGTACCTATACCTTATTCTTCTTGCCGACATATAACTAGCCATTGTGAGGCATGGGCTGGGTGGTGACCGTCTGCGTTGGAATCAATTGGTCATAGGGGAGAGCGGGGAGAGTTGTATCATGTCCAAGTTGTATCAGGGCGAATTGTGCCAAACTTATCCAATGGATGGCGCTCGCGACACGACCAGCCGACGAGGTTTTCCGGGCGCCATCTTTCCCTGTTCTGTCTTGTGGCTGAGTGGACGCGTCTCGAGGTGAGAGCCGATTTTATGTTTTTTTAATGTCATTCTAAAAAAATCAGTTGCAAGAAAATGTGTGTTCTGGGCATTTAGATGTGCACGAATTTGAAAGATCTCCGTAGCGGTGGTGAGGGTAGGTTCTAAGGCTGCGTGAGTGAAAACGGATTTCTCCAGCTGTTCGCTGTTTTTTTAGCACGAGGATGTTTTTTCCAAGATGGCGGCTAGGTACATGTTGTATCAGAGCCGGGTGGGGTATGTTGTAACATGTATGTATGCATGTATGTATGGGTATGTAGCTTTTGATCGCGAAAGCTAAGCCCTGGCTCGCGTTTGTAGGTAGCTAGTCAATGCTCGTTCCATTTCGGCACAATGTGTTGGCTTCTTTGCTATTAACAGACCACTTTTGCGTCTAGTCTGTTGATGTTTCGTTCGGATTGCATTGACCTAAGTTTGGTCTAATAAAGTGAAGCCTTTGAGCATACCTATACATTGTATTGACCCCATTTAATGTTGTTGTTATGTTCAAAACCAGTAGCAAGCATACTCCCTGAAACGTGAAATAGTGATACAAATTACCCCACCATGTGATACAACTCACCCAAGCCATGGGGCAAGTTGTATCAAAAACATTGTTCTATTCGGGAGACCGTAGAAGAAAAACTGGTAGAGGTAGCGGAAAAGTTACTTTGCACAAAAAAGCAGAAGAATCAAGGAAGGGGATAGTATGGAAATAATGAGTTTATCACGGATAGTTACGAGGTTATGGGTCTCGGAGTAAAAACTGATACAACCCACCCCACTCTCCCCTAAATTAAAGACGGGCCGGGTTGCTTACGCCACTTCCCACATACTCGTAGGCATTTTTCGAACTAAATATGTGTGTAGTGTTAATCATTACACCGAGCCGAGCACATTCGGGTTAGGTACGTATAACCAACAACTGTATAACCGTTTAGCGATCAAAAAGTAATGCCAACAATGGTGGTGGTCACCTATGATGACATCGCTTGACGTCATACATGGGACGCAAAAACACCCATTTGCAGTTGCCACCAATACGGTGGCAACTGCAACGGTTCAGAGTCCAGACGGTTCCAAAGGCGTGAGAATGCTTCTAATTTTCCGGCGATTGGAAAAGATGGGACGAGGCCACTATGTGTTCAGTTCGCTCGTGACTATTGGTCAGAACCAATTAACCTTTTGGTTTTGGTGGAAGCTACCCTGTCATTTAGTTCGATGCCTGTCAGCCATTGAGTCTGGACGGACTCTGGTTCACTTTGGTCCTAGGAGTACGGGTGTCAATGGCCATCCCGGGATAAAAGCATTGGTATATCGTTAGCTGGAGGCACAGCCCTGGCACTAAGTGCTGACAGAGGCGCCTTTACGGTTTCAGCAGGCTTTGATTCGAAGACACTTGTGTGCTGCCCCCGCTCATTTATCGATTTATCGGAGACTCATCATCTCGTGTTAGCCGTCCCGTTGTGCTAAGCAGATGATGAATCCTGTCTGTGATTCGGCAAATAAGTTCGGACACAAAGGTACAGGTACGCACACAAGCCATTTTCTCCACTAAGCCGTCTTAGAAATGCCTGCAATTTAAAAGCTTTTTTAATTAAACATGTCACACAACATACCTACTACTTCGACACACAGGCAAATACATTCAGGTGAGCGCTAGCGTGAAACAATTCTACAGATTACGAACGCAAAGCCTAGACAAATATATTTGAAGAGAGGCGTGATACTTTTCTCAGGCGTGTGGGTGCGATACCGGGCGATGTAGGCGGTGACGCAGGGCTATCTGGTATTGAGCGGTGATGAGGAGAGGGTGGGCTCCCACAGGGTGCGACAGACAACATCCCTCAGTGCACCGTGTCTTTAGTCTAGGACTGCCGTGCGCCTACCGACAGGGGACCGACCATGCGGCCCTAGCCCCGCAGTGCATGACACTCTGTTCGGGTGTCGGGGCCACTCTGGCACCGTTCTCACAATGCAGTTCGAACTTAGTCCAGGCTGCAGCTGTCAGTTCAGGAGTGGTAAATGTCCGTCTGTCAGGGCCAGGAGCAGTGAGGAAACTAGAGGAAACTGCAGCTGTCAGAAACAGAAGCAGCGGTTTCACCACCACCGACCATCCCGTGGGTCGGTGGTGGTGAAATGGTGACGTATTGGTGACGTCGATCGCCCAAGATGCGATCGACGTCAGAGAGCGCAATTCGGCCTTCTGGGGCAGACAGCGACATGTATACAGAAGCAGATCGACCTATTGGGGAGGACAGCGACGCGCAGTAGCGGTCAGCATGCCGCCCGGACGTCACTGCTCGCCGTGATGACGTCAAAGTGACGTCACTGTCTGAGTGGCGAGTGCCGCGGCCCTGGGACCTGGTGCACCGTGACATACTTGCTCGATCGCTAATGTGCGTACTGCGCAGTCCTGGGCAATGGCATGTGTCTGCACTCTGCAGAATCGCGGCTAATTCAGAACCATATGTGATGGTGAGAGGAAGGAATGTAGGGATATTAACCCTCTGGCTCTTGGCAATGAACTTCCAGCAGCCCCCGGAGGACTATTATTAGTGTTATTATACGTATTGTTATATTCTATTCTTCCAGTAGAATCTGCGCCACACAGTCTCAGTTCTGCGTCGGTAGTTATGGCCTGAAACCAAACATTTACGGTGACCAGGTGCAGTTGTTGCGCGTACAAAAGAAGAAAGTCTGTGCTATCGTACAAATTGTAACCCATCGCATGTATGAGATTTTGTATAATTCCATCTACCGACTCCTGAGCGACTGAACGGCATAATAGCCAAAAGCATAATAAGGTACAACAAAACACATATATTTCCGCACAATAATAAATACAAAATACACTGGCTATAAAACAAATAAGGATCACATTGGCACTAGCTCGAAGTTGTATTTCTTTTTGTCGGCCGTGTAGTCGATGCCGTAGAGGCTATCACAGCTGGTGCTGGCCAGGTCTATGGGCAGACACTGGTCGCCGCTGTCGAGCACGTCGTACTCGACAGGCTCGGGCAGCGGCACCGGCTCGGCGGCCGTCTGCGAGTCCGGCGCCGGCGCACCGGAGTCGGAGACGGCTGCCGATCCCCTGCCGTCCTCACTGGGTCCTTCCTCTATACCTCTTCCACCCCCAGTGACACCCTCCGCCGGCCCCCCGCCACCCGCGGCCCCCTCCGCCGACCGGTGGGCGGCTGCCGAGCGCCCGCCGCGGCCGGCGCGCCGTCCCCGGGCCGTCCGTTTGGCCGGCGGCCGTGTGGGCTGCTTCCTGAACTGGCAACGGTAGAGCCGGTGGCGCGAGAGGTCGATGTAGCGCCGACACAGCTCGCCGCAGTCGGCACACCGAAACGTCAGGTTGGGCGTGTGGTGCTCGCGGAAGTGGTTCTTGAGGGAGCGCTCTGTCTTGTAGAGGCCGTCGCAGTGGACGCAGACGAAGGGCTGGGCGCCGGCCGCCGTCAGACCGTTCCACTCTGTGGGCTCGACGGCGTCCAGCTGGAGTCCCATTTTGTACTGGGTCTGCCGGCCGGCCACCAGCGCCGTGTCCAGCCGCAGTGCCGGCCGGTGCTGGCGGCGCACGTGGCCGGCCAGCGCGTCCCAGCCGTCCGCCCGCTGGCAGCAGTAGAAGCAGGCCAGCGCGCCGCCGGCCAGTACTACGCCGAGCCGCAGCCGCTGGTCGGCCGCCAGCCCCGGCCAGTCGGGGCACAGCACACACTGGTGGGGGCAGCTGGCGCCGCGCGGACACGCGGGCGGCGCCTGGGACTGCTGGTGTTGCTGAGGTATCTGCTGAGACGGCTGCTGATGTTGCTGTGATTGCTGTTGTGGCTGTTGCTGCTGCTGAGACTGCTGCTGATGTTGCTGAGATTGCTGTTGTGGCTGTTGCTGCTGCTGCTGAGACAACTGTTGTTGCTGGGAATGTTGAGTTGTTTGCTGCTGTTGCTGGTGCTGATGCTGAGATTGCTGTTGTTGTTGTTGTTGTTGTTGTTGCTGTTGCGACTGCTCCGACTGATGAGGCAGCTGCTTGTGCTGCTGATGCTGGTGCTGAGCCTGCGTCCGTTGTATCTGTGGCTGATGCGAGTACTGGTGAGTCTGGATGCCGGTCGACTGGACTGGCTGCGGCTGATGAGAGTAGAGCTCGGATCGCTGCGCCAAGCCAGCGTGTAACCGCTGTTCTTGCTGCTGCACCTCTTGATGGCGCTGCTGCTGCTGCTGCTGCTGCTGCTGCTGTTGATGTTGCTGCTGTTGCTGATGTTGTTGTTGCTGCTGATGCCTCTGTTGTTGCTGTTGTTGCTGTTGCTGTTGTTGTTGATGTTGCTGCTGCTGATGCTGCTGTTGATGTTGGTGCTGCTGTTGTTGATGTTGGTGCTGCTGTTGTTGATGTTGCTGTGGCTGTGTTTGTTGTTGCTGCTGATGCTGCTGTCCCTGTTGCTGCTGCATCTGCTGCTGGTGTTGCGGCGCGGTCTGGGTGCCGGAGGTGGCCGTCTCGCAGCAGTCGGCGGCCGTCTGCTGTGAGAACACCACGGCCGGCGCGGCGGCCGCCATCGGCTGCAGGGTGGTGAACTGGCCGGCGCGGCCGTACGCCGGGCCGCCGGCCGGCGCCGGGTACTGGCCGCCGCGCTCCCCGGCCGCCGAGCAGGGCGGCGTGTCGGCCGGCGGCGCGCCGCTCTCGGCCGAAGACAGCATCTCGGCCGTCATGTTGATGGGCCCCGGCGGGTTGGCGCTGTAGTCGAGGCAGAACGCCTCGGCCGGCAGTGTGGCCAGCAGTGAGGTGGTGCCGGTCCGGTGCGCCTCCGGCAGGTACACCGTGTCGGAGAGCAGCAGGCCCAGCTGGCGGCGCGGGGAGGGGGGCGGCGTCAGCGGGGGACAGGGGAGACGGGGACGAACGTCGTCGGGGGGGGGGGGGGACGGCGTGAGACAGACAGTCAGACAGACAAAGAACGGTACTGTAATGGCGTGGCAATGGGTTCAAACACAGCGGCGCCCCTTGGAAATGAAAACAACGATACAAGAAAGACAGACATCACACATAAAGCTGTCGCCGTCGTCTGCCAGTGACAGCTATCACGAAGGCTGATCAAAGGCAGTTTGTTACGTTTAGTCAGCGTATACAGACTGGCACACGCAACCGATTGACGTGTACTGACGTCAGACGCCAGACCCTTAGTCGCTCCGTAAAGGCACGCTCGCGATTTTCGTCTCGAAACGGTAAAGTCCATCCCAATAGTTCATACAGCACAGAATACGTCCCCACACCTCCCAGTGCGTTCTCAGTCGGTTCCAGTGCCGGGCGGCGCAGTCCCGGAGGCGGGACTGCCAGACCGTCAGGCCCGGACGCGATACGGCTATCAGCACGGTGCACTTGACACGCTGCCGGTCTGAGTGGATCGCGGCAGGCCGACACGGAAAGCCCGACAGACGCTGCCGCCTTCACACCCGGTATACACCACGCACGACACACAACCGGGGATCGAACCAATCATCGAGGGCGATTTCTTTGATAAGAGAATCGTGAAGCTTCGGTCAATGCACATGTATAAGAGTTGTGAGGATACAAATATGCTGACCAGAAACGTAACTGGAATGCTTCCCCGGGTCAAATCAGGGGGAGGAGGCCGACCGATGGACATCGCCTGCCGAGTGCCGACTGCTGTTCTTCCACTCAGGAAACTCCCGCTCGGCACATGGCGGCCGGCCGGCCTCGGACTACGTCCACGCGGGACCGGTTAAACGGTGCCCCTCCCCAATCCGGCCCACGAGCGCCCCACTGGACAGTCTCCTCCCCCGGTCAGTATCCCGTCCGTTGGACCCCACCCTAGTAATGTTTCACCCGCTGGATCCGCGGCAGTGTCCCACTTCCTGGACCCCGGATCCCAACGCTGTGTCCCACTCAGCGTGGCGCCGCCGGCTTCAGTGGTCGATTGAGCCCGGCGGACTTCAATGCCGCCAGCCGGATATCCCCGCGGCCAATTATGCCTAATGCAGATTGGGAAAACCGTTCCTATTACGAAACGAAAACAGAATGGAAACTGAATATGCGGGCGGGCACGCTTTTGAGAGAATAGTTCACCTCTAATCTCGGGTTCCGGGAACTCGATCTCAGCCGATTTCACAATGTCGCGCAGCTATGATTTCTATTATTCACAAACAGACTGACTCACCTTCGATTACGGTTCTTGTCCGTGCCTTATCAACTAGGTACTGCTAATTTCATTATTTAATAAGCTAGAATATGTCGTGGATCCAGTTCGATTCAACACCGCCGGATAAGAGCTATATACGAAAAACAACAGAGATCACGCGACAAAAAATTCCATGCTCCGGGTCACGACATGCCCAAAGTCGAGCCATGAGGGTCACAGTTGTGTCGCTGATGATGCCGTAAGGTCACAGCAGACCGGAACTGACGTCACCTGATACGTGTCAGAGGTGGCGGCGGGGCGCCCTATAATGAAGGTCACCGGCCCATGCCGTCACTCTGCCGTCCGCGGCCTGGACGGCCGGTGTGGGGCCGGGCCGGGCCGGACGGCCGGACGGACAACCGATTGATGCCCGCCCAAGGAGCCCTAGCGGGCGCAATTCTAGCCCAATCAGTCGGCCGACAGAGACCGATGGGCTCAGACCGGGTGTTACATTTCACAGAGCCATCGGCAGTAACCGCCCTCTAACTGCAAGCATTACCGCGCACAGTAACATGAATATAAATGATTGAACTTCATGGATTGCTAGGTAGAGACTGTCTAGGCTAGGAATCGTGAGGATATGGTATAACATGTTTTATAAGCAGGTAATACGTTCACAATTAGCGTTCATTTTGTTACAGTCATTGTACCGCAACTAACAAAACGGACTAATCCACAGCTGAGATAGGGGCAACCGGTTACAGGTTAATCGATGGGGACTCATTATTATGGGTGCGGGAGCCAGGAGGCTCGCGGGGGCCGAGCCCATCCGACTTTTCGGCCACTGGGACTCGTAATGTATTCGAGCCCCTCCCTCCCCCAGCTGGAGACATCCAATCTACCAACAACCAAATCTACCAACACTTCTCGGAATAAAAACCAGGCAATGAAACCGGGAGTGAAACTAATCCGGCTACCCAGGCTGGTGTTATAGACTGTGCCGCCATATGTACTCGTATGGCGTAGATAGGCTGTGCCGCTTAACACTCAAGTCAGGCGGCACAGTCTACCGGTACTAGGCGTCCGCTGCCAGTGCTGAGGCATATTCACAAGCATCTGGTGGATGAAGAGTTCCGATCGATCAAACTGTATCCGAATGTGTTTCCTGTTGATCAAAGCCGAAATGTTTCGAGATGGCGCTGTACCATTCAGCAGACGATACCTATCAACGACTTGCGATGTTCTAAGAAACCGGGCTTAGAAGTGTTGAGCGTTCTGCGTCGTTCTAAACTCCAGGGACGCATTCGACCGCTGGGTGCATTCATTTAATCGAAATTCGGCCGGTTTAAGTGAGCGTGAAATAGATCGTTTCTCCATCACAAGTGTATACGGTGTAGGATGTAGAAGGGTTCATCGCCCAATAAGTTTGCCCGTATATCCGTCAGTAGTTCGGGTAAGTTAAATCTATTCAGATCAGAAATACAGAGTACAAGAATCTAAACGGTGACTGTCAACTTCAGACGCCGACAAATATAAAACCACACAGACTTTCAAGTTTACAGGCTAGAAGAACTTCATTAACGAACTTCTGCTTTTCTGTGAGTGAGCTAATGCGTTTCTATGAATAAACCTTTTGCTACACTGGTTAAGTTGCCCGGAGTTGAGTGCATACAGCACCTGTGTCCCCTTGAGAGTGCATTTTGAGGTTAAGGTCGCCCTGCCGTCGTCGAAACCGAAAACAACTGGGACAATGTCGTTCACCGCCATTGTTTGCAAACAGCGTACCGACCGAGGTTGGCGGTTCTTCGGACAAAGTCCCCACTGTGGAACCAATTGATGACTGACCAAACAACAGAAGCCTCTCTATATGGAGTCTCACATACGTTGACCAGAGTGGGAGCTGCTGTGGCCGGTGCACAAGGGACTGCCCGCCCGTACCGAGACCCAACGCCCACATCACCGATACCGCGACTGACCAGTCGCAAAAGAGACTGGCAACCAGACGACATCACAGCAAATTCATAGTCTACCACGACGGACCTGACTCGGGGCAGCACCGCACCATAATTGGGGAGTGGGCGATACCGGTCCTCCAACACAGTCGTGATGGGCCGCGTCACGCCGTGGAAATGAATTGGGATAGGTCACGGTATCATCCGGGCGAACTGGATACCGGGGACATCCGACAGTCCGCCGAGACAATAAATCTCCGAACGACTGGCATATTGTGATCGGATTACCAGCACCGTTGAATGGGGCCAAATTATTATTACCAATATTGATTTTGATTTATTGCAAATTTGCTTTAAAATATCAAACATAGATATATTGTAAACTGACATGTGAAACAACTGCCATTTGTATCCACTATGTCATACCTTTTGGCAGTCACATCATCCATCCTCCTACACCATGTCTGAATCCTTTTCAATGAACGATTAGTACTTTCGTTATGTAAACCACTGAATGAAGGGCGATCCGATGTCTACAAAAAGGATAGTGACCTATCTGTATGTCTGCACAGTATCTAAGACGTTCGGGACGGCGGACCGCCTTAGTGACCTTCCATGACACGCGGGGAGGGAAGGGGGTTTCCAGTTATTTACCGCCTCCAATAACGGCCCCATATGCACCAGCCATCCCATAACGCGGCCACACAGCGTCAGATTCACAGACTCCTTTTGCATACGTGATTTATGGGCTCAGCGGCACGGCGGCACTTAATGGAATCACTACCAAAAATACCCGGTATAAGTCGGCTCCGACATTCGCCGAGCACTTAGCGTGTGTGTGCTGAGCGCGTGTTCATCCGACCAACTGTCACACCCGTCCATTAGAACGTGCATACCGACAGCGCGCAGAGCGGAATCAGTTTTCCCTGTGTGGGTGTCCCTCGAACTTGCACAAAGTATATGTATAATGAAAGTCGGCCGGAGACAAACTTACCTACTGTACGGAGCGAGCTGTGTAGGTGAGTCGTTAGCCAATAGGAGCGCTGAGAAGGGTGACGTAGCGCTCAGATGAGGGACATCACTCAGAAACCAAAACCGCGAACTATTTGCCCTCAGATATCCATGGCGAAACTGGCATAGCTCACCTGCTGCTAGACATGCATTTGCCCGTGCACACTGTGCAGATAACTGAAGGATCAAATCTTTACTACCTATCAGTAGTGCTGGAGTACCGTAACAATGTACTCGCCTGAATGGCGCTGGACTGGAGTACCGTACCACTTGCCTGACTGACAATACATAGTGTATGGTACCACTGTACCTGGGTGGCGCTGGGTACCATACCACTGTTACCTGGGTGGCACTGGAGTACCCGGTACCGCGTCACTGTACTTGGGGGCGATGGAGTACCCGGTACCGTACCACTATACCTGGGTGGCGCTGGAGGTGGTGGTGGGCAGCGTTCCGCTGGCGCTCGACTGGAGCAGCGCCGGACTCGAGTACCACTGGCAGATGGGCGCCGCGCCCACGGACGAGCTGGCCGCCGCCGTCGTCAGGTTCTCGGCCACAGTCGTCAGGTTCTCAGCCACCGGCGTGAGGTTCTCGGCGGCCACCGTCAGGTTCTCCGCCGAGACATCCTGCGGAGCGCAAAACAGCAGTCAGAGAGACAGAGAGACATCACAGCGGCGGCGCGGCAGAGATGTCAGCATCTGTCAGCGAGCTGGAACGGTATCGAAAAATTAGCCGCCCAGCTGACCGTTTTGTTCGTCATTAGTAAAAGGTAGTAACAGATAATTAATAGAAGGTAGTTGAGTTTCATCGCCGACCAGTTGATGTCCATACCACGACCTATCCCACGGCCGCCTTCTTGGGCGATGTCATTTTAACTTTAAAGAAGCGTGGGTTTTGCTGTCGTGCTGATTGAGCCTCATTCGTAACATAAAAAGGTTACAGTCTGGCTTCAAAACGATGAAGTGACGATATATAGAGAGAGGACATCAAATGTCTATGCAAGTGGTAAGGAATTACTGTCCGAAATATCCCTGCGTTACTAATAATATGGCCACGCATTTCTAGTTCAATGCATAAAAAGCTACATTTCGTCCGCATTTTCGAAATGTTCGGCTGTTGTAGTGGATCAGACTATTCACTCGATTAAATATTAGGTTAATCATGTGCTATAGAGTCCGATACTCACGAACGGTAATATCGCGAGTTTGGAACTCAAGAGGCTGCATCAAGTCGTCCAATTTAATCCAGCGTATTTGAGAGGCCGTCCTTCACACACTGTCGGCTGATAATATGTGTCGCCGAGCGGTTGCGTCTGTCGGCGCCGGCTTTCCCCGGGGAGGCGCCGCGTCTGGTCGTCACGTACGCTCTGACACCGGGCGGCCGCCTGTTGCCGAGCTGGCGCCGCGCCGCCACGGTGACCCGACAAACGCCCTCGGGCGGCGGCCGCTCGGCACTGCACTGGCCCAATGGCGCCGGCCGAGCGAGCCGGCGACAGCACGCCTCAATAAGCCGGCGCCACTCCAAACCGGTGGCAATTTCACACAGAGGTCGGCGAGCCGCGCCGGGTTCGCCGCCTCCGACTGGCGAGTGGCGTCGGGTTCGTCTCGGTGGCGCTGACCCCTCACTGCTGTCTGCTGATCGGCGATGACCGGTCCGGGAGAGCCCGTGTCGGGAGGGCGACAATCTCGGCGCGAGCGAGACGCCGGGGGCGCTGTGATTCAGTGCTCGGCGGCCGGATATGAGCTGCCACGGTCGGTTCAGATGGGCGATCGATCCACCTGAGAGGCGATCAGAGACGAAATCTGAAGAAATGACACTTCGAAGGCTAGCGTGCTATTGAACAGTCTCCTCTGTATTGGACACATTGCGACATTTCAAGTCGGAAATTCAAGACCATCAAACACCCCCAGCTCTTTCTGGAGATCTAATGACGCATGCGCCAATCTGCAGGCATTTCTGTCATGGATTCCATTAGATATATCAGGTACCATTAGATATAAGCCAATAAGTGCAGTGCATGCATGATACGACTATGATTTTGGAGTTAACTTCAGCTGTTAAAAACTTGACAACTTTTAAAACATCGCCCTAAGTTACGTCGACACGTAGTCTCACTGAATGAGGTTTTTTCTTTCTATGGATGCCGTGACTAGCGTGACTAGGAGATGTTTGACTCGAAAAAAGGATTACATGATGTGGAACTGTTAAAAAACAATGGCAATGATCTACCTTCAGAAGGTCTCCATAGCCTCAACACAGCCTGTGCCCCTAGGGGAAGTAGATCCTCTAGTCCTCCAGTTCCTAAGTATTCCCTGTAGGGTCCCAACTCCTGCCGTGCTCCCAGTGGAGCCTCCACTTCCACTTTGTCCCCGGTGGGTCCTCAACTCCACCGTGATCCCGGTGAAGCCGGCAGGGAACACGCACACCTGATCGAGCTAATGGTCACAGACGTTGGGGACCATAGCCGAAATTCGGTCCGCCAGTGACGACTCCCCAGGGGCGGGAGCGGAGGAGCGGGCCGGAGACCGTCGCGCCGCGGCGGTATGTCAGCGGAGAGATGGCCCGGGTGACGAACCGCGCCGTCAGAGGGGCGGGTGTCAAATGGATATCCGTCCGGAGGGCTGGCCTTCAGGGAAAGTTTATGCGAGTCGGGACGATAACAGGTAGCTGATGTACAGAGTAGCTAATGACGACAAGTGCAATCAAACCACCAAACACGAATCATATGACAAAATCATATAAAACACTGATAGACGACACCGGCCGAATGCACACCCACTGTCCGTCAGAATGCCGTCCGTCGGCCGTCAGAGGGCAATCTGTGTGTCCAGATGAGGTCGGCAGCGGCCGGCGCTCGTCCGTCCGCGGCCTGTTTATCAGCACATTGCCAGCGGCGTGTCCCGCGGGCCGTCGAACGACTGACCGGCTCTGCCGACAGCCCCCCCCCCCCCCGTCCGTCGATACAGACCACATAAATCCCGTCGATGTCGTGGGGCGACACGCCAGGGGCCGGACAGTGCGTCCAAGGCTGCACTGGCAGCTGATGGAGCTCCCTGAACTCGGCCCGACATCGATCTTCCGGTGCAACTCCGCAGGGATTGTCACGAAGGCCGGCCTCTAAATCTCGCACTTAGGGGCAAACGAGTTCACTTGGTGCAGACGCTCACTGATAGATTAATGGAAACGTCCATTGGTTTGTTTGATAGAGTGAGCGACGAAGCAGACGGACGCGATTTAATGCGTATTAAGAACAAATTATTTTCTTGGCCAGGTCTGAGCAGGAAAAATATGGGACAAAAACGAGTGCATAGATCAGAAAGGGTTGCTACCATCAGCCACAAGAAGAACTACAGGTTTACAAAACAAATAATAATAATAAAAATAAAACACGCGATCCGTTATGATAGATGTCTACCAGCTACCATAGTCAACTTTCATCCACAGCGATTCAGTAAATAACTCCGAGGCTGTTGCGCACATCCGTTAGTCAACAAGATTTCAACGAATTCGAAGAGACCGACGAAAAATGTAGAAGGAAACCTGAAATACACAATGGAGACAGTCTCATCCAGACACCGTGTATATGGCCCCTGTCCAGGCCAGTCCTAAGGGAGCGCGGACAGGGCCGCTCATATCCGCATGTATTTCCCCTGGCACAGAGGAAAATGATGGCGCCCTGACAGAGCACGTGCAGACGTCGCCGACAAAGACCGTAAGGGTGGGCCACTGATTAGAGAAAGGCAACGCCGAAAAGTCGGCGTGGAAAATTCAGAAGTAAAAAGCGGACGCATAAACGTGTGAAACGAAGAGAAGCTCTCCTAAGCTGTATAGGGTGGATCGTGTGTGCATTGTAGACCGTCGGTATTTTTTACCTTTGGTAGCCACTTGTCCTCCACTCCTGTACCTCACTGGTACAGCCAAGGTAGGGTCATAATAGACGACTGGCTCTGTCCGCGCCGTACAGACTCCAGTCCAAGCAGACGGAGACTTCCAGTTCGCATGCACTGAACAGGCGTTCCGTACATACCATCCCTCGGACAGCAGGCATCGATCAAAAACTCCCTGTCCCCGCGGACAGTGGTCCCGTTCAGACTCTCAGTCCGCGCAGACAGGGGTCAAGGTCAAACACAGACTCCCAGTCCGCGCGGACAGTGGTCCCGTCCAGGCTCCCAGTCCTTCAGACGTGACGTCCACAGACCATATCCGTCTGTCCGGCGCCGGAGCGCAGGGGAACAATTCATCGCGCCCGGTGAGGATGACTGGACCTCCGGGACGGGCAGCATGGCGGGCAGCGGAGAACGGCCGGCCGTGCAGCCGCAACTAAATGGCCCGCGTCAGAACCGGGGTGGTGCACATATGACAGCCATTACGGCGGACGCTGATCCAGCTCGGAACGAAATCAAGCATTAACGGGACGTTGAATCGTGATTAGCGGGCCGAGGTGACACGACGCGACACCGAGCCAGTGGGGTCCAGGGAAGGGGGAGGGGGAGGGGGGGGGCGATAACGAGAAGGGTGGAGAAGAACAAACAGAACCGCGGCGGCCCGCCGTGGTCGGCCGATAACACGCGCAGTGTGAGCCGAGCCGCGGTGTACAAGGGGTGCGCGGAGTGTTTCTCGCGCGGCGCGCGACGAACGCGATATAAGTGCTCGGTTTGGTGTACGGAATAACAGGACAACATCAACGGAGCGACAGGAGACGGACGCAGGATGACAGGTGGGCGCAGCGATAGGCTGCGGGGGGGAAGAATCTAGGTAGAACGGCCACGAGGAGACGGGATAGGGAGGGGACCGTTCGACGGGCGCTATAGAAGTGGGCGTGACGGAGAGGGGCGGGTATCTAGCTGACCACGACACCGTGCGCCTAGAGAGGCCAGCATCTGTGGTCCCCGTCGTGCCATGGCCACGGCCGACGGGTGTGACCTGATCCGTATATGCCGTGTGCACAGGAGGACCTGGCAACTGTGGTCCCCGTCGTGTCATGGCCACGGCCGACGGGTGTGACCTGATCCGTATATGCCGTGTGCACAGGAGGACCTGGCAACTGTGGTCCCCGTCGTGTCATGGCCACGGCCGACGGGTGTGACCTGATCCGTGTATGCCGTGTGCACAGGAGGACCTGGCACTCTGTGGTCCCCGTCGTGTCATGGCCACGGCCGACGGGTGTGACCTGAGCCGTATATGCCGTGTGCACAGGAGGACCTGGCAACTGTGGTCCCCGTCGTGTCATGGCCACGGCCGACGGGTGTGACCTGATCCGTACATGCCGTGTGAACAGGATGACCTGGCAACTGTGGTCCCCGTCGTGTCATGGCCACGGCCGACGGGTGTGACCTGATCCGTACAAGCCGTGTGAACAGGATGACCTGGCAACTGTGGTCCCCGTCGTGCCATGGCCACGGCCGACGGGTGTGACCTGATCCGTATATGCCGGGTGCACAGGAGGACTGGCAACTGTGGTCCCCGTCGTGTCATGGCCACGGCCGACGGGTGTGACCTGATCCGTACATGCCGTGTGAACAGGATGACCTGGCAACTGTGGTCCCCGTCGTGTCATGGCCACGGCCGACGGGTGTGACCTGATCCGTACATGCCGTGTGAACAGGATGACCTGGCAACTGTGGTC